TGCTGCAGCCACCGTGTGAATCCTCCTTGCTGAGGGTACAGGAGCGATTGTGAGGGTGGCACAGGACCAAGCAGTTTCATTTTGTTGTGCGTAAGGTTGCTGTGGGTTGGAGCTGACTAGATGGCCCCTAACCAGAACAGAAGCTGCCTCGCATTCCTTGATGCGTGGGCCCTTCCAGTCACTGATCTACTAACTGATCCTTTTGCCTCCTCTTTAGGGCTTTGTGATTATGTTGGGCCTATCCAGATAGTCTAGAAAACTCTCCCTTAAGATAAGGATTCTAAGATCTTTTTAAAAAAAATCATTTTGTTGGTCATTTTCAAAATATATTCTACTTGAGCCTTTGGTATCAGCTCATTTCCCCTCCTCCCTTATGAGCCCTTGATAATTTATAAATTATTATACATTTTCATATCTTATACTGACTGCTGTCTCCCTTCACCCACTTTTCTGTTGTCTGTCCCCACGGGAGGGGTTGGATGTAGATCCTTGTGATCAGTGGGATTTTAAGATCTTCAGCAGATTTGCAAAAAGTCCGTTTTATCATGTCAGGTAGCATATGCACAGCTGTAGGAATGAGGACCGAGCACATGAATCTCTGGGGGATGGTCCTCAAAAGATCACCATAATAGTAGTTTAATCATGTCGGACAGTGTCTTTGTTCCTAGTACAAGCAGAATACGAAGTATTTATTGATGAAATGTTAAGGCTCTGAGACTTTGAAATAGTTCAGTAAACACATACAAAGGTATCTACGCAGAAATCCGCTGTATTTTTCTTCAAACTTTTCTGTAGCTTTTAAAAATAACTAGTGTGTGTGGGGCTATATATGGATAAATCTCATGTATCTCTGTTTTGGGTATGTATCTTCTTAAAGAGTGCACTTCAATCATCCCACTGCTTGTATGGAACTTAAGGCCAATGGTTCCCAGGTTTGGGGATTTTCCAACTAATAAAATTCTAAGAAAGTCTAGTGTATTGCCCATTAAAAAACAACAACACCCTTATATTAAAACAAAAAGAAAGAAAGGGGAAAAAGAAGGCATTCAGGACTGAAAACAGATTGACTTTTCTCCCCTGGCCTAACCAGAGGCCGAGGGCAGTTTGGTCTGGAATGGTCAGCTGCCTTAGCCTACTGCCAGGTCCGGTGATGCCCCCTCGTGGCAGCTGTGGATCATTACTGCCATCTGCCTTCAGTTCTCCGACTTAGGGAGGGCCACTTCCCTCAAAGTACCTCATTCTTCATTCATGCTTGCCAGGCATGTTCTAAGTGTACCAGTAACAAAACAAACATCTCAACCCCAGTGGAGCATGAGGAGGGCTGGCGGCGGCCGCAACACAACAATTAAGTGCTCCATTGACAACCAAAAGGTTAGTGGTTCACACCCACCCAAGGGCTCTGTGAGAGACCTGGTAATTTGCTCCTTAAAAAAATTACAGCCTCGCTCTCAGTAAAATGATTTTTTTTAAATGAAAATATTTTAAAACTGATATGTGGTGATGGTTGTACAATGCTTCTTGATGTGATTAAACTATTGAATTGTATGATATGTGAATTATATGCCAATAAAAAGGTTGGAACCCCCCCAAACAAATTTACAAAATTTCGTAAAAAAAATGACAGCCTGGAAAGCCTATGAATCAGTTCTACTCTGTCACAAGGGGTTGGTAGGCGCCAAGTTCACTTGACGGACCCCTAGCACCAACAACCGTGGAGAAAAGACAATAAACATACTAAGCGGCAGATGACAAAGGAGAGGGGAGTAAGGTAGCTCGGGGAGCCCAGGTGGCATAGTGGTTATGCATTGGGCTGCGATTCGCAAGGTCAGCAGTTTGAAACGACCCAGTGCTGCGGGAGAAAGGGGCTGTAAACGGTTGGAGTCTCGGGGCGGCCCTTACTCCCGCTATTAGCAATAGAACCAGTGCGAGCTGGTTGCATTCTAGATATACTGGGAAGGTAGTGCAACTGACAGAAGGCATGTGGTCAGTGGTCCCGATTTGGTCGTAGTAGGAAGGCCGCGCGATCAGCTGAGGCAGGGCAGGCTGCTGTGGGTTGAAATGTAGAGCAGGAAACAGGAGTGTGGGAGTCAGCATCTGCGCGGTAGTCGCAGCTCGGAAGCCGAGTGAGGTCATCAGGAGGACCAGGCTCGCGGGCAGAGGCAGCTCAGGGTGAGAGTCGGCCATCCCTCCACCGGGCAGGAGGCGGGGTGGAGGAGTCAGCAAATGAGAGGGCGAGGCAGCAAGAGGCACAGCCTGGGTGCTGTCCCAGAGGAAGGATGGCAGGTGGGCAGGGAGCTGCGATGAGCGCTATATCCCCGAACCTTCCAGAATGCTGCTTTTCCCCTTGGGGAGCGGAGGGCGGCCAACTCATCCTAGCCCACACCTGATGGCCCTTCCCACTGCACACACTGCACAGGACGGGATAGACAGCAAGGCCGTTTATTGGACTCTCCCCGTGGGGAGCCCCCGGGGCCGGGCCCAGCTCCTCCCCAGCTGCCAGGCTTCCAGGCCCAGGGGCTGGCTTTCTCGGGCTGCCTCACGGGCTCTGCTCCCTCTTTTCTCCAGGATTCCTCTCGGGTGGCATAGCGGAGGCCCGATCCTCTTCCTCTGCCTCAAAGTGGAAGCTCAGCTCCTTGTAGGTGCTGGTGAGCCTTAAGGCTGGCGACAGACAGGAGGGCATGAGGCTGGCCTCGAGCCTCCCTCCTGCTCCAGGGCCTCTGCCCCTACTCACCTTTGGTAACATTGACCTTGTTGGCTGCCAGGATGTCTGCCTGAATGCTGTCCATTTTCATGTACAAGTCCTCGGGGTTGCTCTGAGGCAGGAGAGCGCTCAGGACTCGAGGTTGGGCGCGGGCAGAGGGGTGGGCGGGGCAGGGGCTCAAGCCAGGCAGGGCGGGCCTCCTTTCGGGTCACCCTTCAGTGTTTGTGGGTGCTCCTGGGTAGGTAGGGGCCGGCGTCGCAGGGAGACCACACGTGTGGAGGGAGGGGCTACTTACCAGGAAGAGCTGGAAAAGCTCCTCTCCCATGCTCTTCCGCACGTGTTCCTCCACCACCGGGAACATCCTCACGTAGTACTG